ACATTAGGCAGAGTAGCGGAAAAAACTTTGTAATTTCCCACATAGTTTGAAGTTTATTTTGAGAGAATTTTGTGGTCGAAAGAACCCTCATTCTTGCAACGTCCTAAATAGAGCCAAGAAAAAAAACGGAGAAGATCATCTTCACCAGAACTACCTGCTTCCATCACTAGAATTAATCGTTTTCATTGTAGGTGATGTATTTTGGGAACGATTTTGCGTCATCCGTTTTCAAATTGCGTTTGGAGTCAAACCGGTTTCGGCATTGTGCCATCTTCAGTGTAATTTTTCGCGTGCGTGGCTGTCGTGGTCGGCTGTCCTGTAGCCACAAAAAAAATGTCAGGGTTGGGGGATCAGACTATCTTTGCCTTATGTATTTTGATGCACTGAGCATGAATCCAAAGTCCGTTTTGCTTCACCACGTCAGGATTTTTTCCTAACCTCAAAAAACGTGCCCATCACATAATATCCGCCAAGTTTTTTGAGGTTAGGAAAAAATACTGACGTTATGGAGCAAAACGGACTTTGGATCCGTGCTCAGTGCATCAAAACAATGGGGGGTAGGTATACCTGTCAAAAGTACATGACACTTTTTTTGTGGGGCTGTATAATTGATACTCCACACATTTCGTTTGGTTGGGTTTCTGCTCCAGCTGGGGAATTTTTTATGAGCAAGTTTCTCATGACAGAAATATATACACTCATGGCCAGTTTTCCACTGCACGGTTGTGGTTTAAACTTAGTTTAAACGCTCGAGCTGGCTATTTTAAACTGAGATTAGCCAATAAAATGCCAGCCAGCTGTTCAATATAAATGCAATTTACGCACTTTAAGTTTAAACTGGCACTGAAACACTCGTCCAGAGAAGTGTTCCATTGTCTAAAATACCCTTTCAGCGGTCTATCAAATGATCAAATAGGGCAATAAATAAAAAAAATAAATTTTTGGTGGACGTATCAGGGGTGAAAATTTTGATGGCACTTAATTCCTCTCTACGTCAGCTTTGAAATTAGTCAGGTTATTATTGCAAACTTTCTTACTTCGCAGGGGAACCGGTTCGGTCTAAAGTAGATACATTCGTATGTGCTTGTGAACATATGTATATGTACGTGTATATGCATAATTGTGCCGAGCGGCATCCACCTGTGCTCTGAGTCAACAAAATCATTTTACGGTTATTTTTGAAAACGAAAAACAATGTACAGATTTTATTTTATTAAAATTTACTTATCGTTCATTTTTATCTACAGTATGCACAGCTTTTTGATTTAAAATACTTACTAATACTTTCCTAGTAGCCAACTTTGTGAAGCGATTTAAAAGCGTATTGTATATATGTACATACTTTTTTTTTTTTTTTTTTTTAAATCAAAAATAGTTTCCCATGTATTGTATATGGGAAAAATCAATAGAATCTAAGTATATTTTTCAATCGGCAAACTCTGTCTCTTCAGACGATTTCAGGGAATAGTACGAAATTGCTTGTTTAACCATTTTTTAGTATAAACTTTGTTTTTATGGGTCCCCCGAAAAAACCAAACATTAAATGGGGCTTAATTTTTTCGATATAGAACAATCCTAGCTGGTGACAGCTTTAAAATTCCGACTTTACTTTTCTCAAATGCAATACATACATATATATATATATACATATGTACCTATATTTAAAAAAATATATACTAATATACTATATATATAAAAGTACGTACATATAAGTATGTATAAGTGTGGTATAGGCATGAGTGATCGAAAAAAGCAATACAAATATTTGATAAAATTTGCCAAGTGTACATATACTCCTATTTAGTTGGCACAGTGCTAGCGATTTTGCGAGAGTCTGACAGTGGTAACACGCTTACTCAAACATTTGCAGATCTATTATGTGCTGGTAATAAAAACTTTGTAACTGGTAAACAAAGTTCCCGTTAATTTTGAACCCCCTTTCGCGATCTGTACAATCGTAAAAATTATTCCCACCTTGTAAGCTGATAACAAGCATTAACAGGATTGCGGTAACAAGAAGTGGAAATATTTTTTGGTAAAAAAATATTCGGTAACGTGTAGAATAGCCCTGTTAATGGCATAATTGTAATTTCATAAAAATGTCCAATAATCTCTACATTTTACCCACTGAAGTCAAAAAGAAAAGTTGCAGATGAAATGTAGGAATACGTTATAATAAAATTTCGCAGAAAATAATTGTGACAACTGAAATTTTTAATTATACATATCCACACAGTGTACGGACTTGGAAAAAATTATTAGTGGTAGATTTTTCACACAAGAAATGGTTGAAGTTGGTACATTTTATTAAAAGAAACTATGTTAGACAGTTTTACTCATTTAGGCTAAATCAAGGCGAATTTGAAAAAGCGAGCTCGCTATCAAGTGACGTAATCCCATTGATATTATCTCAAAAAGATTTTCGATCCGAATTTGATTCCATCAAGAATGCCGTAATTCAGGCTCTGTTAATCTCTTTGCTTTCTTTCCGAAAAATATATCTAGATTTTTAGCGTTTGTTGGTAAAAATGCTAGAAAATAAAATACAGCTAAAAAGTTGGTAGATCTACAAATAAAGTGGTGAAGTCCATGCATTGTATTCACGATTTCTTTATTCTTTATGTATGAGGAAATTCATATTGAAATTGGATATAAGCTTCATGAGGCTTTTTTGGCTGCATGGTTAGATTAAGTTAGGAGGGCGTGTATGCAAAGTTCCATGCTTCCACTCAGAGGAATAGTTGTCAAGGTGAGGTATATTTCTCCAACCCGTATTAATCATCGTTGTTGCATCAGTGCAATAGTTTAGTGCCCTGTAATGAAAGCGATAAGAAATCTTACTGCATATCTTTTGAGTTTCAGAGGATCCTGCGAATTTTTCGGTCAGAGTGACGTTCATACTCATCAATCATCTCGTTTGGTTCATAAGTATAACTTGTAACTTAAAATTGTTTGCTAATATATACGCACTAAACGGTGGTTGTATGAATATGTCCGTTCCAGCTGGAACCAAGCCATTTAGTAGAAGACTAGCTGCCTTCTTTATAGAATAGATCTCAGCTTGTAAGACACTGTAATCATTTGGCAAACGAAAAGGCTGTCTGATTTGCAGATCCTCTGAGCAAAGACCGGCAATAGTTCCCGCTCCCATCTTTAGGTATCTATTCTTATATTGAAGTCCCAAGCTGGCGTAATATAATAAGTGTTGGCTTCTCAGTAAACTTTGATTTCCATTAAGTTGGTCTCTTTTTATTTCTCCCATTGTCTGCAAACAAGTCTCGTTGTATTTAATCCTCCTCTTCTGCTATTCAAAACCGGGGAATACTTTTTGAAAAGTTTTCAAATATGTAGGTGTATAATCGATGTGAAAACCAGAAATCACACGGTCAACGATATTTTTATTGATACAATTATTTATTAATTTATCGATATCATTTTCGATGTGTTAATCGATATTTTCATCGATATATTTTTAGATATCCTTAGTGCGTTTTTTATTCGATGTCATTATCGATATGTTTATCGATTTTTTTCTTTATGTTAGTTGCAAGTTACGATATAATTACACATACATTTATCGATGTAAATATCTGTATCGTTTTACATATTATGTCGTTGTTTATATGATTATTGTATCGAACAAATGCATACATTTGGCGATATCGATATTTATGTTAACCAATAAAGTTACAGAAAACACTTATTTATTATATTCATTTTCCGATTTGCAGCCATTGAAGGCTTTATAAGCATTGCAAAATTTTATCTTGGGTACGGAGAAAATCACTTTGATCATTATTTTGTGTACCCACTGTTACTTTTGATAGGTATTCAAAAAAATTCGAATTTTTTCAGTGAAATAAATTTATTTTCCCCAGCAAATCTTGAAAAATATATTTCAAAAATAAATCACATAATTATTTTTAGTTATTCAACTCAATACCGAAGACTTTTGAATTCATACATACAAACACTTGTTTCAAATGAGGCAGAGTGCCGAATAATATGACAGGACTGAGAACAGAAATTCTTTGGTCGTATCTCTCTCACTGCACTGACTAATGCTCTCGCCTTTTGGGTTTTTAATAGCTAAAAAGATGTGAAGATTTTTTTTTTTCTTAAAATAAAATTTGTTTATCAATTAGATTTTAAAGGCACAGCTATTTAGGTAGATCTCAAAGCAAGTATACCTTTAGACCGATTTACGTTGGGCACTTTTGTATTTGTAAATTTAAATTATTTTTTTATAAAAATATAGTTTATTCTTTATAAAAAAAAAATCATATAAAACCAAGTTACGATGGGCCCGCGGCCCACAGCTTCCAATTTGTTATCTTCATTATCTATATACATATTCGCTTTGTCGATGGCGACGGGAATTTTTTGAATGTAATTCCCACATTTAGGGCCGGTTACTCAATGTCTGGTTAATACTTATCTGCGGTTAAACATCGTTATCGACGTCTTCAACTCCAAGCATACAACAGGGAGTCGGTAATGTCGATAACAGTGTTTAACCGAAAATAAGTGTTAGCCAGACATTGAGTAACCGGCCCTTATATGTAGTTAAACTCATTTATCATTCTCGCCATATAAAAAATCGTCGAACATATTTGTATTGAAGAAAATTACTAACATCATAAAAAAAATCGCCAAAAATCAACGATAAGTCCCAGCTACTTCAAACTTTCACTTTATTATATTGAATGGGCTACAAAAGTGCATACTCAAAATCATTCTAAGGAATCTAATTAAAAAGCTCGAAATATTTAGGAAGGTTACTTGATTTTGGGTTAAATATTGCACAACATTGAAACTTAGATTTATACCTTTTTTGTTAAAGAATAAACTATACTTTTAAAGAAAAAATAATTTAAACTAAAATAACAATAGAAATAGTCAAATCTTGTCAAGTGAGTGAGTGTGAGTGTCGTATACTTCGTATACTTATGACTATACAACAGCAGTTAAGAATAGGAGACTCCTCTGTCTGCACTTGCGCCTGCAGTCTTCAGTCTTGTATAAAATAATTTATACACTAAATTCTAAACTCTTGAGAGCAATAGCAAGAAAAATTGATCATCATTAAAATAAGTCCCAGCAATTGGCCTCCAACAGTGCTGTGCATCCGACGAATTTCCCAAAAATAAAATCGATGAGTTTTCCAACAAACAACAAAAACACAACACAACAACCACAGTCCAACAGCAGAAAAAAATAGCAACAAACTACAACGAAGCGACACGAAGTATCCACCGAATGAGGAAAGTACTCTTACACGCTGTGAACTCACTCATGCTACACACACATACACCCATAAAACTGAATACGAGCCAACAACTGATCGAGCTATTTGATCGCAATTGGAACGATCTTGTGTCATTCTTCGCTCGCACCTCAAAAACGATCGACGTCTTGGTTTCAGTCTCGGGGATTATGACTTAAACCAGAAGATTTTTAATTTCTGAGATTTAAGTTTTTCATACGCGCACATATATAGTATATATATATATGTTTGGAAAAATAATAATTTACATAGAGTTTTCGTATAATTTGTATTATAACTGAGGTGAAAAAGAGAGTTTATTTCAAACGGAAAATACAAAATATAATTTTAACGCGATAAAAATTACACTATAACGCCGCAAAGGATAACGAAAGTAAGCAGTTAAAAGAGTATAGGAAGTAAATAAGGATTTGCAAGTGTTGAACAACAGTGATAAAGAAATAATGTGAAAAAATTCCTCAAAATTTTTGCAGTGAAAATTTAAAAATATTGAAAAATTTTTGGTTTCGTAACAAAATTTTATGAAGAAAATATTTTTCGCTGCGCTGAATATCTAAAAAAAGAATCGATACACTGGTGGGCATGCGAACGGTCGCTCGGTGAGCTCGGCCAGCTGATGGTGGGTGATCGTGCGACATACGAACTGCGGGCTCGGTGCTCGTGCGCTCGGTCGCACTTGGTCAAGCTGAGCAACGGGCTATCGCTCGGTCGGTCGGTAGGTCGTGCGGTTGCTCGGTTTGTGGGTAAATCGGTTGATCCGGATCCGTTTCGAAAGCCGAAGTGTTGCACTCGGCCATATGCATACTCGTATGCGTTTACTTATGTGTACATGCATACATACATATATGCTTATTAATTTATTTTATTATAATACATATTTATATGTATATGTATAAATACCTATGTACATAAATATTGTATGTATGAACGTGTATTGCAAGGATCAATAAAATTGAGAAAACAAAAACACAAACAAGGATAACATAAACTTTTAAGGAACTACTGCTAAAGTATAACAGTGCTGTGTATTTTTCCATGCAACAATAATTCTAATCGAACCGAAAAACCTTGGTTATAATTTTGATTTAAAAAAAAACTGAAGTTTGCAATGCTCGCAGAGATTTTTCAATTCTCTTAAAACTAACTGAATTGTCAATTTTTAAAAATAGCCACTGAAAATTAAGAAGCAAAAGCTGTTGTGCCTGAGTTTGTGTTTGTACGTGTAGCAGCGCCTGTTTGTGTTTGTGTGGCCAACAGCGATCGGTGTTATATTTTCGTACATAAGTGAGATGGAAAATAACTTGCAGCGCAGGAATACGAAAAGGACGGCCTGCGACAGAATAATTTTTCGAAAATAGAAATATTTATCCAATAAAGTGTGCATATGTATTTTATCTTCAGTTCGTGGCGAATTTCGCACAGCAGCGTAGCATATGTGCACTGAACTTAACACTGATATTTAGAAATAAAATAAAATAAAAAAATTTCAAGTGAAGAGTAATAAAAAACTGTGAATAACAATATAAAATTAAAAAGTTCAGCAAAGTGATAATTAAATTGCAATACAATTAAAAAAATCTGTGTCCAAAAACAATTAAGTTCAATGTAAAACCCTTAGTGTAATTTTCAAATTCTCTTTTTTTCTTTTTCAGCACCTACGAAAAGCGATAAATCAGTGTTTTGAAGTGAAAAAAAATAAAGATATACATATATATAGGTAGTGAAATCAGTCAACGTATATAAAGGAAGCAGCTGTAGCAAAAATCACATAGTGTTTAAAATCGGATAGTTACACTTAAGTGGCATCTTTTTGGTTTGCATCGCACCGCAACCATCAAGTCCCAGTCTTATATCTATCCGATATCGTAATATTCAGTGAGTTAGCTGCACAAAGTCACTAAATACCTTCAGTTATCATTTTAAATGCGCTATAACTAGTGTTATATAACGAAAATGCAACGAGAAAATTCGAATCCGCTCCAACAGCAGCAACAGCTGCAATCGCAATCGCAGTCGCAGTCGCAGTCTCATCAAGAAATGCAACAATTCTCGAGTCAACAACAATACTCGAGCATGCAGCAGCAGCAACAAAGGATTAGCCGCACCGAACAACGCACCGTCCAAAGTCAGCAACAAATCACTCAACAAAGAGGTCAGTTTGCCGCAATGGCGAATGATCACTCATCATTCATGTGGAAAATATGTCATATGTCATGATTATTGCGAATTCTTAGCAGGTTTTTAGGTTGCAGGTTCATTGTGAAAATAAATATAAAAAAATCATAGTGAAATTCACCATTCCCCGAGTAAATTGTTAGTGAGATAACAAGTCAAACTGATGACCCAAACATTTATTGAAGTCGAGTATTTTTTTCTCTCATTCTTTGTTTTCGATTTTTTAATTTTTTCTTTTTCTTATAAATTTCTTGTTGCCGTAGTTATTTTTCAAAATATGAAGACCGCACTGAATATTATTAAGCAAACCTGGTACGCAAATAAAACCATTGTTTTTTTATTTCGGCCCCATTGTTCGATCCAATTTGTTTCGCTATTTTTTATAAACAATCAAATATAACCAATAAAAAACCGTGTAGCCCTATTAGTCATGGACCGAAAATAATCGTTATTATGTAGAATTTTTGTTTTAAGGTCATTGCAAAATCGTTATTTTTTATTCACATTCTTACGGATCGTTTCAAATTGTTTTTCTATGATTTTTATCGTTTCGATCTTGAATTTTTATTTTTCCGATCATTTTGATTCGTTATTTTATGATTTTTATTTTTTCGAATATTTTTTTTTGTCGTTTCGTTATTTGCGAAAAATTTTTGTATGACAAATTTTTTGTAGGGATGCATTCTACTAAAAAAATTCCCAGAAACCAACGGTAACCCTTAGCTACTTTAAACTTACATATTAAAAAAAAGTGGGGGAAAACATTTTTTTTCCATTGAATGTTATTATTTTTGCGAACGCTAGCTAAACACAAAACCCACTACAATTCTCATATAAAAGTTTTAGATTACCGTTAACTTCTTCATGATCCAATGATCGTATCTAAACCAAATTAGTATGGAACCACCTTTGAGGTACCACATTTCCTTTTGGAATGAATTTCCGACATTCCTTGTCAATTTGGTTTGGATTAAAACTGGTTTCGGCAATGCGCCATATTTTTCCACTGTATACCTTAACAGAAATACTGCATAAAATTTCAAATTTTTCTTGTTTCGGTATTAGACGCGTCCGGGGATTTTTAACTAGAAATTACCTGATTGTGGAATTCTATATTCTATATCCTACAAACACACCATGTGAAAATTTTTGTGCATGCGACCCAGCTTAAGAAAAATAACTTACTCAAAAAAATTTGTGTTTTTAACTCACAATTTCGAATGGATATTGAGAAAGGTAATATAGAAAATCTCTAGATAGATTATTAATGCAATTCTATTACATTATTTTCATATACGTACATATGTAAAACAATTTATAATTACGGAACCTAGCTTGAAATTTTGAAATATTACTTATAAGGGATTTCGGGGTCAATCCAATTTCAAAGTGTCGCATAACATTGAAAAAAGTCTATAAGTACTAAATGAGACGTTTACTTTGAAAGCAGCATAAGCCACTTCATGCCGATTGACTTCTGTGATCATTTATCTGTATGTAAGCGCGCCTGTTAGGCGTTTAACTTCAGCTTCTAAACCACCTATCACACCTTAAATAGTTGACTACTCCAGTTTAATCCGTTAAAAAGTTGTTCAAAGTAGAAAAGTTCCAATGTTTCAAAAAGTTGCCCTCTAAATTTACTGTAGGTCTATGAAAACAATAAATAACACTGGTTACAGCAAAAATTTTCAATGGATGCCACTATCTAATTTCTATATAATATATAATATATATATATATATATATATATAATTCCAACAAAATCATTGCGTATTTTCATTTGACCACTCAATACTTCTTTATTTATACCTCGCTTTCCTTCATTAGTAACTTGATTTTTTTTTTGTAACAGAACAGGCTCTAGCACAAATGCAAGAATTTTGCACAAAACCTGTTATTTTTTAAATTTTCCTTCTGTTGAAGTTTGATTTTTTCATTTTTTCATTAAAAAAAACAAAAACTGGAATGACTAATTAATTTGTCAGAAACTATCAGCCCTATCGGAAAGTGATGTATATATGGTTTATGGAGAATTTTATTAGCTTTGATATGATCGTTAAATTGGTTCGTAAGATATATGTGATTAAGTGGAACCACTTTTTGTTTTAAGCTGAATAATGGTAAATTGCAAATATCTCGAAAAGGAATCTATAGAAAAAAATAACTCAATTTTCGGAATCACCGAGCAATTCTACATAGAAATTGGATACTGGCGTCTGAAGAACAAAAACCAAACTAAAATTTGTGATCCAGTGTAATTATACTTCAAATCTGTTTATAAATTGCTTCTTAAACCTTTCATCCCCGAGTTTTTGGTTTTGTTTTTAAATCTTTTATTTGACGTCATAGTATAAATAAATACATAAACTGTCGATAAAGTGACAAATTTATAAATTCCATGCCCCTAGTTTCATTATCTAGAAGTAACTAAGCTGATTTTCAAGTTGCCCATCCATTGGCAAACGTCTGTTCGAAACAATATTTTGATGAAGAACAATATGAGCACAATATTGCACAAAGTTTCAAACTTGGATTTATACGGTATTTCTTAAAGAATGAACTATATTTTTATGAAAAAAATAACTCTAATTAAATAACAAAATAAAAATAATTGGTGCGACTAAATTTTTTTCGACCACTGTATTTACGTAAATGTTATATAAACATTTTTTATTATTTATTTGGTAACTGACTTTACAGAAGTTTGGTTTGGTTGATGAATAAAACAGAAAGACCAGCAAAATATCCAAATACATTAAATTTTTGTGTTTTTTTTTGTTGGGGAATTTTACGAAATTTCGGGCAAAATCGGGGAATTTCATTGTCGAAATCGGGGAATTCTCAAAAATGATTTGGCTACCCTGGAACAGAGTGCTTCCTGTGCTCCTTCTCGAGAAGTGAGTAGGCAACGTTTTAAGCAACTAAACCGACATGAGCTACACAAGTTTGAAAATAAGTTTGTTTAAACCAGTAGTGTCCAACCGGTAGCTCGCGGGCGCCTGGTAGCACTCGACCTAAATTTTAGGCGCCCGCAAACAAGAAGATGAACAGAATATTTTGTATTGAATTGAAAAGTTTAAACAATTGGAAGCTTTTTTGGTACATAAGTAGACTTTTATTTTTGAATTTTCACGAACTCATTCACTTCTTATCTTTCTATGCTAGAAATGACAGAATCTCTGTTTCAGGATCTTCAAAACAAAAACAGCGTAATCTCAGCAATAAAAAAGTGTCGTTATCTGATGACCTACCAAACGATATTCATGGCCAAATAAAAAGCGATTTCAAGAATTGTGACTAGGTTTCCTTAAAAATGGATGAGTCGACCGATGTTTCAGACTCTCCGCACTTATTAGTGTTCGCCAGAGTGGTATTTTCTGATTTTTCTGCTAAGGAGGCACTGTTAGTCAATCTGACTTTGGAAACTCGTACTCGTGGGCAAGATATAAATATATAACGTAGTGAAAAAGAAGGAAAATGTGATTGCAAAAACACTCAACCTTGACAAGGTTATGAGCACGATCGTTCGTATTGTGAATTTGATTCGCGGATGACCGTTAAAGCATCGGCAGTTCAAAGCCTTGCTCGATGAATTTGAGAGTTAATTCGGTATCATATTCTACCACTCTGAAGTAAGATGGCTGAGTCAAGATAAAGTGCTCTCAATATTTGTAGCTTTGATGACAGAAATAAAGATTTTCCTGAAATCCAAAAGCAGCATTTTTAACTGATGTGACTGCAAAACTAAATGATTTCAATACAACTTTGCAATCTGGATACCGATGTATGGATAGAGCAGTTGACAAAGAAAAAATTTCAACATTTCCAGACGTTTACTCTTCTGGAACAGGCTTTTTCACAACTAATGGTTATAAAAAACAAATACCGAAACGAACTGACTGACGAACATGTCAAAAATAACACGATTTTAGCCTGCACAAGTGTGCAATATAAACCAGATTTTAAGAAGTTATCTGAAAATATGAAGATTCAAGCATCATATGTGACACGTAAAGCTAAAAGGGACCTACGGTCAGAAAAAATCGATTTTCACTTTTTCATCGACTCTTATAGTAAACGGGCCACTCTTTCCAATGCAATAAACCGCAGCTTTCTAGCTGCATTAGTTTTTTCACAATTTCACTTCAAGGTTAGGTACTTTCACAAAAAAAAGCACAAAATATCAAATCTGACAAACTATTCTGAAATTAATCAAATTCGCTTGAAACCCGTTACTTTCCTAAGTCTGAACGCTCTTATGATGCTCTTATTATTGTACTCCATTTTAACTATAAAAACTCTACTAGGCTGTTTTTTGGCAATGCTATGAGAGTGTGGAACTCTATTCCTGCCACTATTAGGAGCAAAATCAACAAAATCAACTACAAGAATGTATTATATAATTACTTTTCTAAAACTTGATTACCCATCTCAAATTAACTAAGTTCTGTGCTGACCTACGAGTCTGCGTAGTTTTTAAGGTGTACCAGTCTTTTAAACTTGTCTGTTTTTCCTTTTGGATTTGTTTTGTTTGTTTAATATCTCTATTTAATTGTTTAAATTATAATTTCTGTTGTTATACCTCCCTGTTGTGCTAAAAAAGATGTTTGTAAATCTTATTGTACTAATGCTTCAAATTGAAATAAATTGAAATTGAAATTGAATCCGAACAAATTTTAAATTTTTTCCGCCATATTGGATCCGCCATTTTGAATTTTTAAAAACGAACATCGGATTCGTAATCAGCGACACCAAAAACCCCCGGGTAACGAGTTTCAAGCGATTCCGATTAATTTTTAGAAATGTCATCCGCCATATTGGATCCGCTATTTTGAATTTTGGAAAACTAACCAACGGATCGTAATCAGCGACCCCGAAAACCCCCGAGTAACGAGTTTCAATCCATTAAAATGTCAGAAGCATCAAAATCAACTTGGTAAACTTCAAAGTCGTTTTTCTCGAAATCTTTTTTTCTGAGCGTAGGTCCCTTTTAACTTTACGTGTCACATATTAAGTTTATTGGGCATGTGCTGCGAGTCGTA